TTGTTTGCCCATTCAAAACATCATGGATTGCTAACAAAAAAATGTTATAAATTCCATGGATGACTGTGAAGACTAGAGAGAAAGAGTTGTTTAAACTTGTGTAATTGACAAGTCCTGATGATGAATCTTTTAAAATGTGTGTAAACAAAAGAATTACTAAGCATTATTTTCATATTTTTATGTGCAAAAAATATTCAATCTTTTTTAAGGTATCTGATACCCCTACCTAAAATAAAAGTTACTAGCTGAAGTATCCGGATAGAAACAAGGCTTTTATCAAAACAGACTATAATGACAGTAAAATGATTCCTTGTGAGCAGTCAAAATTGGTCAAGTTATATTAAACTATTAGATAAATTAGTTCTAAAAATCTAAACTATTAGATAAATATAGTTCTAAAAAAAAATAAAAAAAAAAAAAAAAAAAAAAAATGGAGGTATGGTGTAGTAATGAATAGTGGTTTAAATTCAAGTCGAATCCATTACATTCACTTATGTGCTAATACCCTTGGGAAAGGTATGAATCATCTTCTCTCCCCAGCTATAAGTAAATAGCAGGACAGACCACATTCTATAGCCTTGGATGGCAACTGGTCTACCGCAGAAAGAAATGGCAACCTATTGCGGGAAAAAAATCTGCCTCGTCAGTCATGTATCAAAAGATACATGATCACCTAAGCGTGTATCATGCATGGCACATAACTGACAGAGTTCTAAAAAAAAAAAATTTATTTTAAAAAAGGGATAGGCATGTGACAGTAGAAAGAGGGTTAAAATTATTAAACTACAAAAAAGTTCTAAAAAAAAAAAAAAAAAAAAAAAAAAAATCACCCCACTTAACTTTTAATATCAAAGGTGAAACAAAATGAAATGTGCAAATGTCTTTGTTGCCAATTCAAATTTTGCTCTTATCACTTAAATGGGAATGAGTAACAATTTGCAATCATGATCAGAAGTCCTGTAAACCCTGAGGGTCAGAGGAGCACTGCAAATACTGCAGTTGTAGAAGCAGTAGTGTGTCTTGGGCAAGATAGCCTGACAGAGCCCAACTTTAATGGTCACTGAAGGGATCAGTATATGCAACCCCAGGCTTAGAAATTTTACTATTTGGTAGTAGCATAGTGGCAGTCAGAATAGGGTTAAAATTATGAAAATAATTTTTAATATTCTGTAAAAATATAAAAATAGACATTTATCATGCATGCACACACATATATATATATATATATATATATATATATATATATATATATATATATATATATATATATATAAAGATTATTTTAGTGGATACCTATATTTGAGTAGATGCTCTGTTTATCTATTAAATAGTATATATATTTATTTATTTTCATCTACCGGCCTGAATATTCAACAAATATTATTAGAAAAATATGTGCTAAATGAAAAATCTATTCCTAAAATTTCTTCGTTTACGTTAGGATATAAAACTGAGCAGAAATGTAAATTTAGTGAGTGGGGAAAAATTTGTGTTTCAAAGCACTATTTGAGCTTTCCTTAGCCACCATGCACTCTGTAGTAGAGAGGTCAAAGCATGTCAGATCTTATGACGGTTTCACCTAGGGGAACACAGATTCAAATCCTGCTTTTCTAAGATTTCTCGAATATTCAGGCCAGTAGTTTAAAAAAAATATACTGTCTAAAAAACAGAGCATCTACTCAAATATGAGTATCCACTAAATATAATATTTGAGTAATAAAATATGTCAGATTAATAAATGAAGAAGTCATACATGTGATTAATAGTAATTTCAGCAAAGCTTCTACCACGTGACTCTCCAGAGGTAGGAAATTACCATGTGTTCTTTCTTTGGTAATTGCTGGCTCATGAGGCAACACACATGTTCTTTAACTATGGCCAGGCTATTCAGTAGGTCAAAAAGGCAAGACAGTAAATTCTGTTCTCTACTATTATAATGCTGCAGGACATCCTAGCCCTTGCGCTACATGACAACGGTATCCTGTCCTCGGTCACTAGTGTGTCCATGATTGAATCTTGCAGCTAACTGTGAAGTTGGTCACTTCAATCCAAACCTCTCCCTGTCTCATGTTGTGTTTGTTTTGATCACAAAGCAAGAAAGGATCGAATTATTGCCAGTTATCACTGGATTGGTGTCATTCAGGCAGGATGATGTTATAAGACAAAAAAAAAAAAAAAAAAAAAAAAAAGAAAAGAAAGTTGGGTAAATCAACAAGGTTTATAAAGGAACACTTTTTCATATAAGAATCTACAAGCATGCAGGCTAATGATCATTCCCTCATAGTCTAATTTTGTGACACTTTGTTCTTCATTTCCAAGTCGGAGCCAAAGTTTCAAACTAGTTATTTAGAGACTTCTTCAGGCAGCAAATTATGGAATGCTGATGAAGCACTTGTCTCCCTCTTCTCTCTCTGACATCCCATAGAGACTTTCAATTCTTCCATTTAGCAACTTCATCAGGGCACTCTGCTCAATTTATCTAATAGTCTAGAACAAGGCATAAGAGTTCTTTGTACAGCAAATCACATGAGGATCTGCAAAGTGATCGTCTCCTCTTGGTGTAATGGAAGCATGTCTCTGCCTCAACTGCTACTATCTCTGTCTCTTTCTAATTCCTCTCTGATCTAATGCTTTTATCAACCTTCACCCAACATTGGTGTAGGATGCAACACAATTTGGGGTTCCAGGATTTTCCAAATATCCAATCAGAACTCTCTTCTGACAGTGTCGTGGGAAGCAATTCCATATTCAAATATGGGGAGCTTTCCCAGCAGGAGTGGTGGTAGCAACACATCGATCAGACATCTTGTTCTCCCCCACTTCTCTTGCATGCACCTCATTTCAGTACCTTTCAGTGGATGTATTCATTTTCCTCCAACTTACTCATATCAGCTCCTCATGTTGCCACCATCCAGGGAATAGGTGTTCCACCCACCCCGTAGATGCCTGACACAAAACAAGTGTTGCTTTTAATGTTATTGTAAAATTTTTATCTGCCTTTTTTTTTATTCCTAATTATCCTACATTTGGTCTATAATTCTTCCTCTTTTACCCACTTGACCAAAATTTTCTGGCCTGAGAAAATCTTGTTCCTTTAGCAACATGCACATCTTTCACCCCTATCAAAAAGTGACATAGAATCATTTCTCTACCTTCTTCTTCACCTACTTGTAGCCATAAAATTATTATCTGCAACTCGCTTGGTGGTCTATGTCCCAAAAAATGTTAACCCTGGTCACTTCACATCATCCCTTGGCCTTTACTTTAACCAGATGCCTAAGTAGATTTCAGTGCTTATCTTCTAGTGAGGTCCTTTACTTACAAAATGATAAAACAAGATAAAAGTATATTTTCTCTTGTTTTCAGTATGTCCTTCAATCTATCTTCTACCTTCTTCATTTTTGTATTCACTTTCAATTTAATTTAGGCATTTTCTTCTTTCTTCAAATTATTAGCATTCTTACAGTGTTACACTATGCTGTCTGAAATTCTCTAAGACACCATGTGTCCCTTTACCATTATGATTGTTTCAAATTGTTATTGTTTCTAATTTAAAAGGGTTTTCCTTGTTTGTGTATTTCTTTGAAATATATTGGGTTTTGAGATATACCTGGTGCAACAGCAAAATTGTCCTAATTGCGTAAAAGCAAAATTGTCCAATTGTTAAATTAAGCTTTGAACCATTGTACCTTAGAAATGATTAAAGATATCTTACTGGAATTCTCCAAGGTTTTTATAATAGTACTGGACTACTTTGAGCAATAAGAATGTATAATTACACTCCAAGCTTAACAGAAGAATCATGATGAAATTGTTCATAAACAAAAATCACATGTTCATCATTAATTAATCATAGCTAAGGATCGAAAACTCATGAAGGATTGAAATAAAGTTCAAATATATAGATAGATAGATAGATAGATAGATAGATAGATAGATACATGAAATTCCAAGATCATTTTCCAACTTATTCAAGATGATCTTCGACCTCTAACATTTTAACTTTCTGCCCTGGAGTAACAAGGTGTTTCACTTATGATTTCATTTTCAAGTCTTTTTTCACTGCTCTTTGGACTGTCATAGCTGAAACTCTTCTCATGTGCCAAATGTCTTATGAATGATCTTTTCTAATTGATCTCTTTAGCTCAAGTTGAAATGATGATCCCTCTTCCTGTTGTGACCTCCTGATTCAATTTTCTTCCCTACTGTTCCCTCTTTTTTAAACTTATTCACCGTTCTCATGATGGTTCTTGAATGGACTTTGAAGATGGAAGCCAGAGTATTAATGTTGCTACTATTACTGAAGGTCTGAATGATTTTTTCCTCTCACCATTGCTCAGTTGAGAAGACAGTGGGGCTGACACAAAACAATTTTAACCAGTTCTCTTTCTAGCTCAATGACTCAAACTGCTTTTTTTACGAAAAATGGTATCAAGATGGCTAAACCTTTTATCTGAAAACCTGAAAAAAGTGTTGTTACACGATTTGAACAATTTTGCTGTTACACCCGGTATTTATTTTCAAGGTAAATTTCCTGAATAAAAGGATAACATCAGTGTGAGACATGAGCCTTTATCATTGAAACCTCCTGACAGCTACACCAACTCTCTCCAAGATGGTTTGAGTTGAGTGTTTTACTCTTCCTAGACTGGTTGCCAACCAAGACTATAGAGTCTAGTTTGTCCTGCTATTTACCCATAGCTGGGGATAGAAGAGATAGATTCATACCTTTCCCAGGGGTATTTGTGTATCAGTGACTGTAACAAGCATGACTGGAACTTGAACATGGCTCTCCAATTTCTCATTTCGAGCCACTATCTATTACACCACCTTCACATCCAGCTTGGGAAATAATCAATTAACCAAGTCAACTAAAATTCAAGTTTAACAGTTCTTGTTCTATGCAACTCAATATCATAAGAATATTTAAGTATATCCACAAGGATTTTGTGCAGTGGCGATTTACATGTTTACAGAGAAAAGAGAGAGAAAAAGCTTACCTGCCATGAAGGGGTAATCTCCCAGATAACAATCTGACCATCATTACAACCAGTAATAATACTGTCCAATTCTGGGGCCATCATGAGGGTTGAGATGCAGTGGGTGGGGGCATTGTGCCCCCACAAGACAATCGGTACTACTAAATTTCCTGAAGTTCCCATCTTGACTCATCTAAATAAAATAAAAAATTTAAGACATACCAATATTAATTGTAGAAATTAATGACAGAAAAATAGAATTTATAATTTTTGTAAGGTAGATACATATAACTAAACAGTATAATCTGATATATAAAATATAATAAAGATAATAATGAATATATATATATATATATATATATATATATATAACTCAAAGGTTTATGTCCAATCTATTCAATACACTTTCAACATTGAAAATTAGTTAAATACATAATTTCTTTCTTTTTTTTTTTTAAATTGTCTCATCTCCAAGCAAGGTGATAATGCCACTAAGACAACAGATATTACTGATTGTGAAAGAGAATTAAAAGACTTTAGGACAATAAAAGAACACAATTCAGGAAGACTGAAGGTGACAATTGGTATTGCATTTAAATTTTTGAAAACCATAGTTGGCAGAGAAGCAAGAAGTCAGAAAAGTGTTCCAACTTTAAATTAAACAGGACACCTTTATATGGTGAATTGTATTTTTGCTTTTTTTAAATCCTTTCACCCTAAGCAAGTCAATAATGCCACTAGGATGCAGAGAGTGAAAGAGAATGAGAAGACTTTAATGAGAAGTGAGAAATGGACAATAAAGGAACTGGATTCAGGAAGACAGAAATTGGAAGAGAGTTCCACAGACAAGAAGCGTGCTATCTTTTTGTACATATGTGCAAATATGCAAAATGTTGACAGCAAATAAATATGGTTTCATCATTTATATATTTCCCAACTTAACCAACACTGACATTTTTTATAGTGAATTTAGAAAATCTAACAAATTTAAATTTTCATTTCTTTTATTATTTATAACATTTAAATTTTTTTGCAATTTTGTTTATAGAAAAAAATCAATTTATTTGTGTCCAACTGATCGATTATTTTTATTTATTTTTTTTTTACAGCTTATCAACCCTTTGTGGGTTATTTAAAGCTGAAACATATTTTGGATTGTAAGAATTTTTTGTTTTTGCAAGTGAATATTGCATTAACAATCAACTGAGAATAACAAAGACTTTTCTAGATACACGTCCTACTATTTAACCTATAACTGGGGGGAAATGGCTTCATACCTTCCTCAAGGTTAATTATGCATAAATGAATCTAACAAACCCAACTAGAATTCCAACTCAACTCTCCAATTCCTTATTCCGAGCAGGTATCCATCACATCACCTGCATAATCTGCTTACATTTATTAATTAAACAAATAATTAAATAATTTAAATAATTAAAATTAAATAAACACATTTATAAGTCTACCATTTTTCCAGAATTAAATATTGTCACATCTAATCTGGTGCTTCTGTTATTTATTTAGTGATTATTGATAAAATACAAAGAAGAATCTGCAATATTATCAGTCCTGACCTGGCATGTCAGCTTCAGTCACTTTCCCACTGCAGTAACGTAGTTTCTTTGTACCTTTTCCATCAATATTTTCATGGTAATTGTTCTGATAAGTTTTCCTCTTTGGTACCTAAACCTTATGAATTTAAGCACAGTACTAGATCGATGGCAAGGTCTCATCTTTTTTTACAATTGAAATGGCTAGCAAGTAATTTTTATGCTAATAGTTTTTTCTCTGATATTTCTCTCTTGTGGAACTTTCTTGTGGCTTAGTACTTCCTCAGTCAACTTTGATCTACAAAAATTGAAATGCAATGTCAATCATAAAATAAAATGTCAGTTTTTCCATCATAAATATCACAGTGGCATCAAGTGGTGTTCAGAAAATTGTTTCTTAGTTGAGGTGCTGGATCAATGAGCAGATACTCTGAATGAGGAAATTATGCACTATATTCAGCCTGGAAGCCATATTGTTTCAGATGGTTAAGCTGTTTACACTAGTATCAAGGAAATTAACCACATGATATACACTCATGACAGTTATTCATCAGCATCATTTCCTGGATTCTGATGATGACACTATCCATACTCAAAATGTGGAAAATCTTTGGATGCATGTCAAGCTTAAACTGTATTGACAGTTTGGAACTTCACATCACATCTTCACGAATTTGTGTGACGTCAATGGTACAAGAACAGTCCCATGTGTCTTCAGCATTTATTTGCTACATAGTCTACCAATATTCGTTGTAATAATGTTTAATTGTAATAAACGTATATACCTTTGAAATCCCTTGGTTTTATTGATTTTTTCGCCATCCAAGGAATAGCAGTTTATTTTTACACCATTTAAGCGAAGGATTACCTTAACTTCTACCCTATTCATTTAATCTTTAACGCAGTGTCAAATTCGAATGCTATGCTATTACACTTACCATTTCACCAACCATGATGATACATATATAAAATAAACAACTTTGTTTTTAAATGTCATGTCCTTTCAGGATGTAAGCAATTATGGGTCTCAATAGATTCCTTTTCTTTATTATCTGTGAAGTGCCATGACTTATTGAGAAAAATAATGGAGTGATTTACTATTGCCTTCTCTGCAGTTTTAATGTCACAGGTGTCCTTCTTCTAGACTGGCTGCTACCCAAAGCTATAGAGCAGTTTACTCTAGTATTTAACCCGTAGTTGAGGAGAGGAAGAAGAAATGGATTCAAATGGATTTGATTGATTACCCTTGTCATGGACATTTATGCAAACGTAAGAGACTTTGAATTTAAACCCTTCTCGCCAATTCCACTTTCTATGCTGATAATCATTACACTACCCACACATTCATAAGCGATTAACAAATGTTTAAACAAAACTGCTTAATACCAGTTTAATGAAAATCTCTCAAACAAAAAAAAACAAAAAAACATGCTTAGTGCAGCAGAGGAAAGGAAAGGGACTACTGACGAGTGTCCACATAATAATTGTGGAGAGTCATGATTACTCATATCCTGAACGGACATAGCACATAGAAGAAGAAAACATAATAAAAAAGGATATGATGGTAGTGTAACAATTATCAGCACAGAAAGCAGAAGGAGGGAGAGGTAGGGGAGAAAGCTCAAATTTCAACATAGGCTGTTGCACTAATGCCCTTTAGAAAGGCATGAATCCATTTTTTTTCTCTATCCTGTCATGCTTTAAAGTTGGGTTGCAACCAATCTAAGGAAACAAAAACTCTGAGATCTAAATAGTGAAGAAGGCAATGGGAAACTATTCCACTATCTTTCCCCCAGAAGTCATCACAAATAATAAAAAATTGGAGTCTGTGAAGAGCCATGATCACCTACAACCTCATGGGACATATTTTTTAACATAACTTTAATAAAATGGAATGTGTTTAGTAGGTTTCACTTTTGAAATTTATAAAACTGAATAGCAAATAATAGACATTTCAGTAAATCTTTGCAATTTTTGAAAATAAAAACAAAAAAAAAACCATTTTAGAGCATATAAAATACTAGACTAGAAGAACATTGAAATATCAAAAGGAATCAGTATTTATGCTAAGTTATGAAGGCCTCCTCAGTAGGCCTAGCATAGAAATAATTGCCACATAGGAGACATTAATAAAGAAAGAAAAAGGAATGACAGCAAGACTTCAGCAGCAGCATTGATTCAAGAGTTTTGTTGCACGGTAATTATGAGTTCAATCTCCAGGTCAGGTAGTATAGCTTTAGACACAATGGAAACATGGTGAGCAATAACTGAGCAATACTAAAGCATACAAGATGAGAGATTCCTACCCATGAACAGTGGAACGAAAACAATCTACCTCTGTAGATTAAATAAAGGGTTCAGTTTAAAATTCCTAGAAGGTTACCCAGATCAACAGATGGTCCTTGTTCAGATGGAAGGTGATATAGATGAGGATATTAGTCTGAATGTACAAGGTAACCAAAAAAGTTCTGTTCGTTTTTTGATTAGTCATTGAATGAAGTTGAAATGCATGTAGCAATTGTTTCAGACAGCCAGAAGTAGGAACATCAGATGTTATGAAAAACACATGCACTGTGCCCGACCATCAGTTATAAGCCAGACAGCTGTGAGAAGGATGGAAGTGTCTAGAGATCTCATTCGTGGGTGTTTGCTTTACAAGTTCAAAGTGGGCTTATCAGCAGCTGCATCAAGTCGCCGCATATGTCAAACATTTGGGGATAGTGCTGTGGATGAATGTACTGCAAGGCGTTGGTTTCGAAAATTCAAGTCAGAAGATTTGTCTCTCCACAATGAGTTGCACAGTGGACGACCACAGGTCTTGAATGACGGAGTCCTGAAGGCGGCCATTGAAGAGGACAGTAGTCTAACATGTGGTGAACTTGCAAGACAGTTCAATGTTTCCGATGAAACAGTTAAGACTTCACCTGCACCGCCTAGGTAAGACGTACAAACTGAGCAAGTGGGTTCCGCAAACGCTGTTGGAGGTCCACAAGGGACAACAAGTGGCAGTCTGCGTATCGCTGCTTTCTCCCCACCGTACCACAGCCTTATTCAATCGAGTGCTTACCAGTGATGAAAAGTGGGTTCTGTACGAAACTCCCAAGCATTCCAGACATTGGTTGCCTTCTCAGGATGCTGTCCCTCACACTGCAAGACCGCCTATGCACCAACGCAAGATTATGCTTTGTGTCTGGTGAACAGGTTGTCAAGTGGTTCATTATGAACTGCTACCAACAGGCTAAACGGTCACTAGAGATCTATACTCGCAGCAATTGAAACGTGTGCAACAGGCATTGCACCAGAAGGAGCCAGCACTGGTGAATCGCAAGGGTGTGCTTTTCCTCCATGACAATGCCAGGCCGCATGTCACCTGAGTGGTCAGGGATATCAAACAGCAACTTGGGTGGAAGACTTTGTGCCATCCACCTTATTCACCTGACCTTGCGCCATCCGATTACCACCTCTTCCACTCCCTGGATAATCATCTTCATGGGAAATCCTTCACCAATGAAGCAGACTTGCGCAAAGCCCTCACGGACTTCTTTGCGTCAAACCCCTCCCCCCCGAGTTCTACCGCAAGGGCATTGAACAACTGGAGACACGTTGGCAGAAGGTGCTGGATGCCGATGGCGATTACTTTGAA